GACCCCTGGGAAGGAAGGTTTCTTGGAGTTTCTTGGGTTCAAGTGGAATGTGTGCTGATGGTTGAAGAACGCCAGACATCCAGATTACAATCACCTCACATGCATGAAAGACTGTAGATATGGGGGGGTATCCTCTGACGATCTGAGTGGCATGCGACAATCAATCTTCCTGCAACAGTATCATGTACCAGCAGACGATCCGGTCGAATGGAACGTTCCAAAAGGACCGGTTTCCGACCCTCCGAGATATCGCGCCCATCCACGACCATCCACGACCACATCGATCGAACGTCCGAACGCCGAGGAGCGCCGGAAGGGACGTGGCATTGTTGGGAAATCGCACCTCGCGGGGCCGAAGCGTCGGAACATGTCGGAACGGCCGACGGCCGGTTGCTGGCACTGACTGGCCGGTTGGAGGGGGCCCGGCACCTCAGTACATGGTCTTAGACCATGTGAGATCTGAGGTTTGTTTTGTTTTGCGCAAATGGTGATGAATAGTTCTTGCAAGCTTCATATATACTGAAGGGTGGGGAATAAGCTCATACAACGACCCCAAATGGTTTCAGGCTTGAAGGACTCAGACTCCGGTTCTCTTCATTCCTTTGTATATTACATTGGGTGATGTATGTTTTTGTGTTTTGGTGTTCGTTTGCTTGGTCCGTTTAGCAGCGAAACACCGGCAGTGCTCACCGGATCCGGATCGGCGCAGTCGTCTCCCTATTGTCCAAACACACCCCAGTCGTCTCCCCACTTAAGTCGTCCTGAACGGTGCAGAAGGCCCCAAGTGCGCGTTCTGAAACGCAGCATGGAGATCTTCATGCACCGGTTTGCGACCCATTGGGCGCGCGGGTGATCATCTGTAGCCATTGATCAACCTTCTGTGGTTCTGTTGGTCTCACCTCATCTCCAGATCCACACGTCGTCATGATCTTCATAAGATCGCCAGTCCTCGTCTCCGCACATGGGGCAGCTGCCCGCGGAGGCCAGAAGGGATCCATGGCACAGAAGAGATCTGTGTAAGCTTAGTTTGATGAAGGTGCCAATGGTTTCACCAGACTTCACCCCACAAGCTTTGGGCCAAACAAAGACCCGAACACGGAAAACTATATAATTAAGGAAAAAAAGACAAACCCGTGTGAAGTTCCAGCTTCTAGGTCTTTAGAACATGCAATTTGGCTCCTCCCCCCGGCCTTGGTGGAGTGCGGAAGCTGTCAAGAAGGTCCGCTCAAGCGACAGGTCTTTTCAGTGAAAACACAATCTGGCCTAAGAACTTCGGTCAGCCTGTGGTCAGTGGTCAGTCCGTTCCTTATGGTTCCACCTTAAACTTTCAACCCACTATCAAGGCTGTGGAGGCTGGGGGAGGCTGGGGGTGTCTTGGAACCTCACAGAGAACTTCAGCGCCGACCCGAAAACCCTTCGCAGATGCTCCTGAGGTTGCTTCCGGCCAGGGCATCGATCTGACACGGCGCCCCAACATGACAGGACCTGCATCGTCACAGGGTGTTCGGCACGAACCCATCGTCCGGACAACGGGAACATCCGTGACGCAACAACACGCTCAATCCATGAGCTTTGAGGAAGAAATACCCAGACACTCCATGTCTGTTCTTTGCATGCGTGCATTGGGGTGGTTTGGGGAATCCATGAATCCATGGATCCAGAACATGGAGTGTCTGGGAATAGAGGAGTTCGTTGACCGATCGGTTGCTTGCTTGGGAGAATCAGCGAAGCACTATATGTGTGATCGAAAGGACATCTAGGCTCTCATTGAAACATGAGTAGAACATGTTTAACTTCAAAAAATACCAACACACAGACAATCGACATATATATATATATAGAGAGAGGGAGAGAGAGACAAAGAGAGTACCTCACCCTCTCCCCAACTGGGGAACAAACATCCTCGGAATTCACCGGTGTTTCAACTCGAAGCTGAGGTGAATGTGAGAGACCTTCAATCGGCTTCGGAGTCCAACCGGGCGTTCCTGTTGTGGCAGAATTCTGTTCTCTGCCACCGGGCTTCTTCGTTCTTTGGAAGACGGCTGACGGCAAGGCATGTCTGTCAAAAAGGTAGCTCAACATCAAGCTCAACTGGTGGGAACTAGTCGAGAGGGCGCACGTGCGAACTGATTCCCCCTCGGATCTATTGAAAACTGCTCGACGTCATCCTTTGCTGTCGCTCCGACTTGGCGTTCGGGGTCACATTTGTGCCATCACAACATGGCTTTACTCAGATTCTAAAGCAGTTTGGGAATTTGGGAAGATGGTTTCCTTCAAATTGTGAGGTCTGGGTGACGCAATCTGCTACGACCATCAAGGACTGGTAGTTGACCAATTGTCCAGCGTGGCCAGGAACAAGAATGCAGCAGTTCTTTGATGGACAGCTTTCCGGTAACTCATTGGGCTTCTCTATAGCAGGGTTGCTTTCTTGAGGCTAGAAGGGCAGAAATCAGGGGAAGGAGAATCATCCAGAAGGTTCCTCAACATGTCAGCAACTAATCTCCCCGATCCAGGAGGCATGTCAGGGAAAAAAGGTCAATTTCCTGAAATGTCCCACACCCAACACCACGAGTGCTTTCAAGTTGAAAGCAGGTCATGGGAAAAGGTCAAGTTGCCTGATTGACTTCAAATGCTTCACTTTAAAGACACTGGATGGCACTGGTGGTGATCTATCTTAGGACACCTACAGCCCACGCCAATGGTGTGAGGTTTGCCACCGATTTTTAGAAGGTCCTCTGTGATGAGTCTTCATGTACACCAAAAGAGTTCCCTAGGATTAATGGTCTTTACTTTAACCAAAGAACCATTCTTTTACTTAGGATGTAAAAAAAACAGGTCAACCTTTTTATATTGTCTTTGAAAGCAAACCGGGGTCCTATGCCATCCCAAGGTGGCCGTTGAAAAAACACTGGGACTACCACCCGGTGTCCACCGCTTCGTTCGGCCTCGACTGCCCGGGGTTGATGCCGACGACCTGCGTTCGCTGCGACCCATCCAATCCGTCGAATACCCGTTGATGTCATTGAGGGATTGAGGCTTAACCTCAATCATCATCTTGTCCAGCCAGTCCAATCCGTTCATCCGTTGTATTGATCGAGAATTGAGGTTTGAAGCACGATGATTCATGATCAGAATTGGCCAAGAGACTTTTCGAAAGGGGACTCCAATCTTTGACAATGATCTGTAACTGGCAGTGAGGTCACGCATTCCGATCCTGTCACGCTCGGTTGCTTCCAGGTGTCCCCACTCGCAAGGCACCGGCGTCCATCTTGAAACCTGCCTTAGTAGCCCAGCGTTCGCTTATAAACTTATAGAGCTATTCTCGGCCAGGTTGGGCAACCATGTTCAGCAAAACGGTCAAAACCCCGTGCGAAAAACATCCAAGAGAGCAGCAAAACACCTGCCTATGTTCCATCTATTTCCATGATCGGGTTTTGGTCCACAGCTATATTGGTGTTGAGAGAAGACGCCCAAAGCAAAAAGTCAAACAGTGTATATATAATTATAAATTATAATATATATTATATTATGCTGTTTCAGTAAAAGCAAAGCAGCAACCTGCAACAAACTGGATGTACCTGCAACTCTGTTGCTGTCAAACCAATGAACGATCAATGTCGACCAACCCGCTGTAGAGGTGGCTGCGATGAAGCCAAAACCTTCCCAAATTGGCTCATAAGGACAAGACTGGCCCACAATCCACAATCAAAGGCCCTGCGTTCTCTGCAAGTCCTGCAAGCTTCTCTGGATACTGCCTTCAGAAGGACTGAACTTCTGGGGAAAACAAAAACAACTCGACATGGAGAATTGGAAGACACTTCTCATCACAGGCCCTTGTCCCTTTCGTTTCTAGAACTCCGTGTACCTTCCAGACTCCATGTCACGATGTGGCACGACATACACACCGAGTCCGCACTGAGTGCTTTTCTTCCACCGAGTCCGACCAGCCAAAAAGTGATCAGCCAAGAGAAAGCAAATCCAGGGCTCTCTGAGACCACCAATCACTCACTATGCGAGTCACATCTATGGTAGTCCATAGTATGTCTTTTTGGGTCACTCAGAATCTAGTCACTGATCAGTCTTCTTGTGTTTCTTCAGAAAGCACACGTTCCAGCTCTTCGAAAGACCTACCTACCTTCACTAAATCGTCCGCAACCAATCCTTCGTGACTCGCCTCGCCACAGCTGGGGAGCATTGAGATCCGGCTTCCACGACTGGATCCATCACTGAAACGTCTGAAACTTGAAACATTTGGACGGCGATGAACCGGGATGAAGACTGGATTCAAACCCCCCAACCTTCAGCAGTTCAATGCCCAAAAAGCAGGGTCCACGGTGCCAAACGAAGATGAAGCTTGGTGAACATGAACGTCCGAAGGTGTGAAGATTGGGTTCAAAAGCCCGTGGAAGAACACTGGGTCCCGGACTGATCTTCTCCAAAGGTCTCGTTTCCACACCGTGTCTTTGCAGTTCAAATACAGTATAGATAGACTTAGTATTATTACCCTCCCACAAACTAACATGGAAGCTGAGAATGGACCGGTGGAAAACCATTTTCCTCTGCAACCCAGTGGTTTTGGGGTTCCATGTTAATCTGCGGGGGAGTATCTATTTGTGCACTCTTGACAGGCTGCAGCTCTGCCTGGGCAGCTTGCATTCTGTTGACCAAACAGAACGCATGAATTGCCAGCAAACAGTATTTAACCGATCATAAGGATTTATTTGATAAATCATTCAAGGGACACTTTCAGAAGGAGTTGGGCAAGACTAAATTCCGCTGGTCAGAATGCGGCTGCTGCAACGCGAGCTACCATCTAAGCAAGAGACATCCCCAAACCTGCACAGTTTAGTAGCACTCTGCAGGCTTCGAGTCGGTTCAAACTCAAATGACAAACAACAATGACCAAGAGTTCCAAGAGTTTGTGCATGTGGAGGGTTTACCGGGTGTCCATCGGTGTCCATTTTGATCCATTTTGTCTGTTACGTACAGCCACCCAACTCAATGGAACTCGGAGAAAACCAATTGCTTCACTCGGATGGGCCCGGGTGTAGCCGCTAATTATATTCGGATGTAGCATATACCGGCGGATCTTAAAACACTTTAAAGACATGCACTTCCTTTACAGCAGGATATTAGGATCCTGCTCTCTGGCATGCCAAAAAGAGACGCCGGGCCTATGGATTTCTCTCCTGACAGGATGACAGAAATCGGAAATCCAAGTAACACCACAACCACTTCCTCAGTTGACACTATAGTCACAGTTTCATGTCTTCTTCAAAGACTGAAAGATCATCACCCGAATGACACTGACCTGGGCGCAGGTTGTAAACCCCTGCGGATTTGGCACGGATCACCTCCGCCGTTTTGGGCACCTCCATGCGGATCACCACCGGTCACACTGACACAATGATCCGCTTTCCACGGCTCGCCGAGCTCGCACCACACGACCTCACGGCTTCCACCAAAAACGCCGAAAACACCATGAACCCAAGACCAGCACAGAAAAACCGCACAGCAAGTCTGAAGAAACCATCTGATTGGTTTTTTGGACTGTTAAACATAAAAAACAAAAACAACAACCTCCCCCACCAAATCATAGTAGGTTGACATCCCGTATACAAAGGGATTGCAAAGAGTTTTTCAGAGGTCGTGGTTGGGTGCCATGACCCACAGCGGCATGGCGGACAGTCGCGGTCGTTTCGCGGCGCGGACAGTCGCGGCGCTGAATCGAAGTCAGGCGGCGCATCGGGTGTTGGGCTGAAGCGGACGTGATGTTGTTTCCAAGAATGAATGCGAAGCTTCTGCCGTACAGACCATTGCAGTTTCTCCCCGTTCACATCTGACAAGAAGTGGTCCAGCTCGGCCACATACGAAGCATGTGTCGACCGAACAGGCGGTACACCATCCTGTTCGTGTCCATGAACCGTCATGAACCCCCAGCAGGATGTCAGAAAGGCGGCAAGACTGAGAGTGCTCTATCTATCGGTTTGTGGGGCAAAACTTACCTGCTGCACTTTTGGGAGAGTCTGAGTATGTTTTCTTGTTTGCCATCTGAAACAAAAAGTCTTCTTCCAGCTGCCGAGATTCGAGCTCAGGAAAGTCTTTGTCCACTAGATCCATCGAGTGAAAACTCTTCAGTTTATCCACCAGATCCATACTTTCCGTGCTCGCATGACTTGACGCCCGTGCTGGGTCCGTTGTGAGGCTGGTTTCTTTCGAAACGTCCAAGCCGTCGTCACCCAGTTCGACCTATTCGCCGTTTCAATCCGAGAAAATACGGGTCCCGAGCTACCGGACGGACTCACACGATTTGTACGATTCCAAGTCACCCCATGTTCACATTCCACGGATCATGGCATATCGCCCATGTCAAACATCGATTTGCCAAACTCGTCGCGGGGCTCATTGATTCTGACAATTGTTCAAGATCAGCTTGACGGTTCATTTCTCAACATTTCCACGACTGAGGCTTCACAACATCTAAATCTAAAGGATCAGGCAGGAGGATGTATACTGATCATCAACATCCTGTCATCAAACTGCCAACAATTGAAGAACATCTACGAGGAGAACAGGAAACCACAGCTGCACACCCTTTTTTTTGACACCAAGCATCTCTCAAGAGATCCTCGCTCTCAGCCTGACGAACTACCCCAAGCAATCTCGGATGGTTCGTTCTAAGTTTAAAGTAATTGGGGTGACAAACCAAAGCCAGCTGAATCTATTGAAACAAGCATGCAGAAGTCTCAAACAACTCTTCCGAAGCTATTAGTGTTCCATGTGTTCAGGACTTGCGCAACGTCCTTCTCGAGGTGACAAAGGCACATGGTTAAACTTCACAGTGCCTGTATGTGCCTGTAGCAAACAGTTACGTTCTAGTGACCAAATCTAAGCAACTGCCGTTATTGAAGCTGCAGTTGCTACTGTAGTTATTGCTGCTGTTGATGCTGCTTTGGTGGCTGTGGTTGTGGTTGTGGTTGTTGTTGCTGCTTCTGGTGTTGGTAATGGTGTTGTTGCTGTTGCTGTTGTTGCAGTTGTTGTTGCAGTTGTTGTTGCAGTTGTTGCAGTTGTTGTTGTTGTTGTTGTTGTTGTTGTTGTTGTTGTTGTTGTTGATAACAAACCACATCCCCAAACTGCAAAACTGTAGCACGTACTACTACCGAAAGTATGTGCATGATGCACTTGTGGGCTGAACCGAAAGCAAACCTGCATGTTGTGTCTGTTGATTGCTGAGGGGTAGGGCCTTCAAGCTCTCCTCAGTTCTCAAACAAATTCATAGGGTATGACGGTATGACCAATTTGAGAACATTTGAGAACCCTTTCCACATATATGCTATTCGTCCAGGATGCGGTTTTGGGAAGATCCAACTAATAGATACAGCCGTGATAGGGTCAAAAGTTCCTCATCTGCACCCATTTGCAGTTCCTCGTCTCGCGGCCTTGACTACCTCCGATCTCGGTGAGCTGGTCTTGCACCCCATCAGCGTTCTGCCCCGGTGGTTCAAACGCGCGCTCGTTCGGTCAAGTCGAACGCGTAGAAACGCTTGAGCCACGAGACCCAAGACCGGTCAGTGGGCAAAGCTGCGGCTTCGGGCGGTCCCAAACCGTCGTCAAACCGTTTCAATCAGCGAAGATCTCATGCTGGGGGCTCTGTGACTTTGGGAAGGTAGATTCACCATGTCATCGTTTTTGGGAGCAAAGCTGATCTGCTGGTTGCAGCATCACAGCTCACCGTGAGGGAAGCCAAGGATTGGCAAGTGATACCCTCCAACGCCTCAAACACCAAAGAAGAAATAGATCTTTAGGAGTCCAATACTATAATATAGATTAGAGAAAAAAGGGATCCTGTCCAGTGTGCTCACCTAAGTGCATGGGCTTGTCTTTCATGGTTTTGAACAGAAAATACTTCAGCGTTCACTTCATCTCCTTCGAGCAGGGATGCTTCGAAAGAATCTTCTGCTCGGTGTTCAACTGCACGGTGTTCCGATGTCTCAGTGTTGGATGGTCTTGGTGTCGTCCTGGACGTGCCGCCGTTCATCCCTTGAAACCCCTTCAAAGCCCGGGTGCCGTAGTGGTACAATCCCAGCCCAGCATGCACCAACCTGGCCATGGCAGGTGAGACTTTGGATGACGCCAACATCATAACACTCTTCACCATCATTCGCGCGAAGCTCTGGGGGTTGGATATACAAAACAACATAAAACAACACATACACCAGCCCCGAAACGATTTCCTGTGATGATCCCTCCATCCAGTATTATGGGACCCATATCGAAGGTCATGATTCCTACGATTCCTCGGTGAAAGAATTTGAAGCTCGTTTTTTCAGAAGCACGGGGATTCTTACAAACAATAATGTAATGATCAATTTAATATCATGCAACTATATAGTTCGAGTTGCTCCACATGTGATCAACGCTGCCCCCCAACAGTGGAGCCCATGTATATATATATATATATTAGGAATCTCCAGTCTGAAGAAGGTGACATGCTTCGCTTCAGCCCAGGCGAACGAACGGTGGATGCGAACCACAGGAAGGGTGGATGATGTTATGCTGCGTGGATACACGCGGATAGCAATTTACCAAAGTGATCCTCGTTTGCACTGTCGCAGTCAATAGGATAGACCCAAAAAATCACAAAAATACACTTTTGAGGCATGCCCAGAAAAAAATGAGTGTATTATGAGTAGGCATCATTGTTGGGCAAAGCAACACACATGAATCCGTACATGGCACGGGTAGGGCGTCTACACAACGATCGTGGACAGGTGCGGTCCGGCTGAAAACGTCGTGTTGTTCGCTCGCGAAGGGCCGCACTGCAGCTTCTTTTGAGTTACTAAAAGCAATGGCCTCCAACCTAAAGGCAATGGCCTCCACCCCAGTAGCGATGGCCTCCGCTTTTACAGGTATCTTCAATCGGAATCAAGCTCCGCACCTGCGTTCCAGTTCCCTGAGTGGGTCATACAGTAATTGTTCGATCATGGGGCTGTGATTTCGTCGCCCATTGGGCTATACTACGAGGGTGTCACTCGCGGTTCTGATCCCTCTGGTAGGGACGGTGAGTTCTAAAGGTTTCCACATCATGAGACGGACATTGATGTCTCCAGCCCAATGATCACACTGAAGTCCGTCTCCTGTTCCTGTTACTTGCGGCGATGTTCGTTCCGCCCTGGACCCCCGGACAGATGCGATAGTTGCCAAACTGCACTGCAAGGCTCGTCCCCTCGGCGGCTGGAAGCGTCGCACGTGCATCTCGCCGTTTTCAGCAAGACAGGCTTAGAGAAGTGGATTTGGATGAACCAATAGATTCATACGACCGCCAATACGACCTAGAGGCCGATCTTCGATCCACCAATCGCCGTCAATCAAAGGACGGAGCTTTAACTTCCCATTATGTTTCATCTACAGATGTCTCATGAAGGACTCATGTACCAATAGATGTTAAGGGGTGTCCATTAACCACCCCTTGGGGGTCCTGGTACACATTCATGTATCCCCACAAACGTCACCCCCCCCGCTCCGCTCGGCCTGCCACGAGAGATACTCGGAGCCTCCCCCGGTGGCCACCTCAGAAAAGAAGCATCGCGTCACTCGCGTTTGGGGGTTTGGGAACCTGGAAAATTGCTTTTTGGGGGGCCTGAATGTGATTCATGTTTGGACCAGGTAAATGATTAATCAACACGCCCTGCCCCTCAGCCGTCTCATAGAAACTTGGAAGCCTTTTCTAAGAGCCCAAATCTTCTTCAGTCCACCTCCTGCGAGTCCGAAGAAGCCTTGGTATGTTTTGCCAAGCTCCTCAGTATGAGGGTGATCACTGGAGACCTGACCATGCTGGTCCTCTGGGCCTCCGGCAGCAATGCCTTGATTGGGCCAATTGGCAATGGATGAGCCCGTGCCACACTCCAAGAGCACCTGTCGATCAAAACCGGGCATGTCGAAACCATGAGAAGAAGATCGTCTTCTGGATCTTCCAAACATGTCCGGTATTCCTTGCGACACACAGTCTGAGGGCAAACCCTGTCCTATTTCCTAACTCCCAACTCTTATCCCCAAGAATAGAAAGCACTGAAAGCTGATGAAATGATTGCTGATTGAAATGGCACGGCTCGGTATCCCCTATTATATTTATAGCCATCTTGGCCAGCCAGGGACTGGAAATTCATTATTGGTTCTATTTGGTTGTCATTATTTTATCGTTTGGCTTTCATTGCCTGACGTCCTTTTCTTTTGTCTTATCATGTGTTTTTGCTATGTGTTTTCATTGCCTGATGTCCTTTTCATTTGTGTGTTATGTTTTTCTATGTGTTTTCGTTGTCTGATGTCCTTTTCATTTGTGTGTTCATCTTTTTTGCTATGTCTATGTCTATGTGTTTCCATTGCCTGCTTTCCTTTTCCAGTTGTTTGTACGTACTGTACTATGTTTTCCTTGACTTGCTGCGCCTTACAAGCCGCCTTACTTAAAACCTGTTTTTCTTGTTTCCATTGGTTGGCTGGAGTGTTTTGTTTTTGCAGATTATTGTACTCTTCCATGAGCAGCTGCCCTTGAATCCCAAACTGTCACACACGCAAGCCAAAACATCAGCACATAATCAAAGCTTTTTCAGAGCAATAAGAACAGCACAAATGAGAAAAACAATGATTACTAAAATGATAATATCAAAGCGCAGCATGAAAAGAACAGGATAAGCCAAATGACAAGAGAATGAAAACCAGACCAAACCCCCATGATGAGCAAAATGAACATAAAATGAAAAAACATCACATCCCTCAGTGTGTGGCTGTGAGATGTTCATAATGTCATATTTTATATAGACTAATGTTAAAGTTGCCCAACCTTCTTCCACCAGTTCCATTCATTTGCGACAGCTCCCGGACCTGGATCTGGTCACCGTCAGCAAGACCAACGCCTCGGAAGTTCGTCACCTGGATGTCCACGCGGGCAGCGAAGAAGGGGAAACCCGGGCGAAACGAAAAGGGAGGAGTGATGGTGCAGCTTTGGATTGGCGCAACTTCTGAGGTTCAAAAGAAGTACTTGTGTTAGAACAAACTGCTCTTTCAATGATTGTTCATTGCGGCAATTCTATCACGGGGCTTGTTCCTTCATAAAGGTGTTCTTGCTTTTGGGCTGTTGATCTTCTGGTAGTTTGGCAAGTCTCTTCTGTCACTTTCTCGTCCCAGGCATTCGAAGCGCTGGCACCTGGCAATCGAAGCCCTGCACACAGCTCAAGTCGTGGTCGCTAGCGGCACCAGTGACAATCCTCGGTCAGAAGACAGATCATCGACCGCGGTGGTGCTGGGTGTGCTGTGACGCTTGTTGGAGCTTCATGTGATGCAACTCTTGAGTCGCAGTTGCAACTTTTGAAAAATGTTGAAAGTCGATCAACTCAAACAAATAAGGCCCACTGCACGGAATCAAACAAGCAACGATTCACTTTAACTAACATTTCCACGTCTTGCCTTTGCGCTATGGTCTTTTCCAGTGGAACACACGAACAAAAGCCTCGAGTTTTTGGCCAGTGCTTTTCAGCCATGTTGGGTTCAAAACGTTCAAAATATGGTTCCAATGCCTTGAGAAACTCAAGCATGTGTTTAAATGGTGTTGAAAGGCTAGGGTTGATTCATGTTTGACCTCTTGTCTCTGTAAAATCATGCGAACTCCTGATCTTCCTGCCGAGATTTGCAGGAGGCCCATGCAATCTTCGCAAGCGTTGTAAGGGCCCAAGCACAATCTCACGACCCAACCGCCACCAACCCGGTTCGCCGGTTCGCCTTGTTGGTTTCTGCATATTTAGGCTCACGGCCTGGCATGATTAAGGTAGGTCTAGGTCAAAAAGGGGTCTCTTCGTCACAAAGGGCACAGAGACCCTGACCGAAAGTCTCTGAGTAGCCACACAAAATGCCCACATTGGTGAGGAAATTCGTCGGTCCTGTGCAGACCTTCGACGTGCGACCGACGGAAGACCGGGGGCTGTGGTGTGAGATATGAACCAGTTCACTGACGTCCAGGGTAGATCTTCAAGGTACATCTAGACCGATCAAAATGACGCACCCAATAGACTAGACATCTATAGACATCTATAGACTATGTATGATCTAATTTGACATGGCTTGGGACAATTTGTTGGAGGTCTGAAGAGCTGAGAGCTCTCCCACTCCGCCAAGCTGTCACATCCTGACAGGGTCGTCACCTACTCCTCACCTACACTAGCATCCTTGCTCCTAGTAGTAAGGCCAGGAGCCCCTAGTAGCGTCCTTGCTCCTAGTAGTAAGGCCAGAAGCCCCTAGTAGCGTCCTTGCTCCTATACTAGTAGTAAGGTACTGGTTGCATCTGCCTATTCGTTGTCTATTCTTTTGTTGCAATGATGCGTGCAAGCCTGAAGACAAGACTCCGAGAACACTGACTGAAGACAAGACTGAGAACATTTGCAGCACCAGCAATAAGTAGCAACCAATGTGGAAGCTTCCCCAAACAATTCTGCTCATGAACATGATCCCCATGAAGAGATACTGGAACTGCCAAAGATCGTTGCTTCAGCTACGCAGCTACGTGGCGTTTAGCGGCCCCACAGGCATTCAGTTCGGAACCATCTATAAAATTTACTAAAATTTGCCTTCCAAATGGTTGCTTCATGGATCTTCATGGAGAATAGGGGCGCTCAATATCCATTCATTAAGGGACTAGACTTTGACGAAATATCACCCTTTGGAACACCTGAACACCTGGCTTGCATGTCTTTTTCAGCTTTGACCTGTCCTGCCGGTGGTGAAAAAGGTGATCCTTTTTCGGTGATTGGTGGGATTTGGTGATTCCCACTGCCATTGACCCCAGAAGTCCTTTGGCCCCACACATTGCCATTTCCAGGTTGACACCAACACATGGCCTTGGGGTGCGCGTCCCTGTGGACACGAACGGGTGGAGAGTGCAGTGCGGACGGATGTGGGTACCCGAAACAC